GACAATCTATAGAAATAGTGCTTCTATACAAGAAACTCTTTGTTTCAATAAAGAAAGAAATGTTCGATGCCATAAGGAAACTAGATTGTCTACATTAGAATTAAAGTATTAAATTATGTATTATATTACCTACTATCGGTGGAGCCGAACCAACGTGCTGCCAAGCATTCTTATCTTCAAGATAATCTGTCAGTGTGTAGTAAGCTTGATTACATAATTCGCGCTTAATATATGTTTTAAATTTACTTTCATTGAGATCTAGTATGCTACTTGGTATTTTATTATAGCATTTAATACCTAACCCCATAAAGGATTTCTGTACTTTGGATAGTCTGAATTGCGGTATAGCTAACTTATTTTTGCCTCTAGTATTAAAATTGTGTCTATCGCTTCTTTTTTCAAACAATCGCCTATTTTTCCTTACATACATTATATTTTCATATATATATTGACAGGGCACCGTTAAAGAATTTATCGTTTTAAACAATTCTCTCAGCGATTCACAACGGCGTAAGTTATATATTGATTGGAATTCAAATGGAGTTTCAATCACTCACAGGAACTATACTGGTAAAATCCCTGTGTAATTGATTATTTTTTTAAATCACGAAAATAAACAAAATTTCATCATAAATATGACTAAACTAATTCTCATGAGATTAGTTACACAGCATTGCAATAAACTGCAGAGAAGACTAATTAAAATATCTAAAATGTTCCAAAAGTCATTAGTATACGCGGACGAAGACGCGGGAAATAGCTAGTAAAGTATAAACAAAGATGATCGACTTAATTCATTTTAGCAGTCCGGTTCCCGAGGAATGCCTTACAAAGTTCTTTAAACTTGATCTGTTTTCCTCCTCATTCCTTTTTTAGCAAGTAATATAAAAGATTCTTAATTTTTGACACCATTAGTATTGCATTGTCTGCTCACAAGATGGCACGTTCTGTTGCTCTACTGCTGGTGTTTGCGTTGATCGTATCTACATTGGCAGCACCATCTGGACCGAAGGTAGAGGGTTAGTATTTTATATTTCTCAATCGCAATCGATGGGTAATTTTTATTCGACATATTTTCATAGTGCAGTCTTCACTTGAAGTCTTCAACTACTAAGGGTAAGTTATTCTGTCTGCACAGGTATCAAACTTTTGGTTTTCAACTGGTTTTCAATTTTATTATAAATGTGTATTTAATTGAATACTGGTATGCAGCTAGCAATAGGCTCAATTCCACTGAATCACCGAATATGACATGATGGGGCAGACCGCAGACGATGGCTACAGTAGTCTTGCAATGTGATCGGTTGATCGATCTGAAGCTCAATGTTTCACCTCGATTCCCGTCACACTAATGCCGTGAAGACTGATCACCTGATGGTAAGCAACCAGCGCCGCCCACGGACATCAGAAACACCAGAGGTATTACAAGTGCGTTTCCGGGCTTTTGAGGATTATTGGGAATTCGGGGATTAGGGAGATTGGGGCGGGGTTGTTTGGGTCTCTGGTAACCTCACTAAAACGACGAAATACAACGCAAGCGTTTTTTCACATCGCTTTTGTAGTTTTGAGGCCGTCGTATCACTCCGGTCGAGCCGGCCCATTCGTGCCGAAGTATGGCTCTCCCACACTTCCGTTCCGAAAATACGAATTTAGTTGTTCTGATATCATATCAATTGGACAGAGAATGACTGGTTTGCAGATAGTGATTTCTTTCTTTCATTTCAGGTGCAGGCGTCAATGTTCGAGGTGGGCCCAAAGAATCAAGCACTGCTGCCATAGCTGATGTTACGCCAATAAGGCGGGTCGCTCGACAGATCAATATTGGCAATGGAGGCAACAGTGAAGGAGCTGGTAGAGCTGGGAATGGTGGAACCTTCAGCGCCCTTGATTTTAGCAGTGGTAATAATAATGTTAATTAATGAAATGGACCCTATGTAAATATCGGTCTATACTGACCGATACTAATAATACCTGTATTTGAACAAACTAATATTCTACATTATCTATATATAAAAGAAAGTCGTGTTAGTTACACTATTTATAACTCAAGAACGCCTCAATCGATTTAGATGAAAATTGGCAGGGAGGTACCTTAGAACAAGGAGACGGACATAGGATACTTTTTAAACAATACTTTTTTTTACTTTTTACCGAAAATCACGAACGGGAACGGGGGAAATGGGATTGCGCGTACGAAGTCGCGGGCAGAAGCTAGTTATTTCTAAATTATTTAGAAATGTCTAAGTAACTAAATGATAATGCAAGTTTGACATGTTTGACAGCAGATATCACTAAGTAGAGTAGATTGTTGCATTATTTTGATAATTGTGAATATATGAAATAAATAAACAATAAATAAATAACATCATTCCTATCTGCATACAATGCAGTTAAAAGTTTTGTCTGCAAAAATTAAGAGAAAGTTTTGTCCTCAAGTATGTATTTCAATCTTAATTAATGATCGTATGTATTTGAATCTTAATGACTGCACGGTTGGTGCGGTGGCTGGGCAACCGGCTGCCGTGCAACGTGTCGCGGGTTCGATTCCCGCACGGAACAACACTTTGTGTGATCCACAAATTGTTGTTTCGGGTCTGGGTGTCATTGTGTATGTGAACTTGTATGTTTGTAAACGCACCCACGACACAGGAGAAAATCCTAATGTGGGGCAACGTTTTTTTTTTAAAAAAAAAAAAAAAATTAAATCAATTAAATCGTCGTTGGGAATTCCGATCTAAGGTTTGCCGGGAATTGTTATGTGGCCGGGAATATGTCTCTTCAGCGCGTGTTGGCAATCCATCCCCACTTGCGGCGTCTGATTTAGCGAACGATGAGTTGTGTTGGAGATGGTTTCGGACCAGTAAATACCAGTGCGAATAATGATAAATCACCTTCCATTTCAGCTGCAGGAGGTAATGCTGATGTTACGCCAAAAGAGAAGGACGCTCGGCAGAAAAATGTTGGCAATGGAGGAAACAGTAAAGGATCTGGTAATGCTGGGAATGGTGGAAACTTTACAGGCATTAAAATAAAGACGGTGAGAAGGAAGTAGGGCGTACTATATAAGCGACATTTCAGTGAAAAATGAGTTATTTATGCCATCCTACGTAAAATTTTGTGCCTTTTCGAATGAGTTCACTCCCATGGCTCTACGATGATATTTTGACGATGATTTTTTTTGCTAGCAAAAAAATTCATTTCCTAGTATTACTTTTCAACGGCTCTCCTGAACATTTCACTTTTTGGCGCTTATTCCCTATTTCCTTTTAACCGTCGACATGACGTGATAATAAAACCATAAATCCGTAGTCCAAACGGCTGTTCCTTATAATTATGTTAATGAATATCGGACAGTATAGTATTTGAAAAAATTGAATTTCTACATAAATTAATTAGAAATGTATAAGTAACTAAATTATAATTCCAGTTTCACATGTTTGACTGCAGACATCACTAAGTAGAGTAGATTGTTTCATTATTTTGATGATTGTATGAAATAAATAAACAATAAATAAATAACATCATTCCTATCTGCATACAACGATCGATTAAGAGAATGTTTTTGTCCTCTAGTATGTATTTCAATCTTAATTAAATCAATGAAATCGTTCACTTGTTAATTTTTTGTTCTATTTACCTGTTTCAATAATGCAAAAGTTTTATCGTAAAATGTGGATGTTATATTTAATAACCAAACCCTTCGTTCCTCGGAGGGTTTAAAAGGTGTGAGAGTTATAATTAGCTACAACTACGCAGTTTGATTCCTGTTAACCGTAACGTGATTGATCTACCTACACCTACAGCATAATATTATGCACACATATGATATTCATTCAATATATTTTTATTATTTTTAAAAAGGGCAACCCGAAGTGGTGGGCGGGTAAGTTTAAATAACATGACGGAAGTTGTAGTGAACAAGCAAGCGAACCTTAGCTACCGTCATGTCATTCATTAGGTTGCCTACTTCAAAACTAGTGGGCAGAAAATGGTGCCCCGCTGCGGGCTCCGTCGCCTATTCGCCTTAGCCTTTGTGCCGAACGTAACTACATAATGATTACACTCCTAATTATTTTACTAAAGCTAATCCAGTTGTATAATAATTACACTAGACTTGAACAAGTATCATAAATAAGTCAGGTGATCATCAATCATTAACAACCTATAAATGCCCACTGCTGACTGCTGCTACTGCTGAGCAAAACCCCTTTTCACACGGAAAAGGTTTGAGCATTAATCACCACGTTTGCTCAATGCGGGTTGGCGATCACAAACTTATAATTAGAAATTATAAGCCCAGGTTTCCTCACGATGTTTACCTTCACCGTTTGTCAGTGATGTCTAGACGATCTTAGAAAGGACATATAACTCGGAAAAAGTCACATTGGTACTTGCCGTTGGTAGGTTTCAAACCTGCACCCTCATGCATGAGAAGTGGGCGACTTAAGGCTCCGGGACACCACAACATATTATCAATGCAGGTGAAATAGTATCGAATCACTTATGTAAAACTATGTTAAGGAATATAAGAACATCACGGCGTCATCTATTTTACTGCGACGTTATGTATTGTACGAAAACCACGAACACCATGCGTCAGCCACCATCACGCTTTGTGGTAACGGGGTACAGAGGGGGAGGATGAGCCAGTCGGTTAAACGTAAAGACATGGACGTGACATACCTATATACCTCTAAAGTGTATCGAAGTGCACTTGTTCGTATTTTATTTTTATTATGAGTGATATGTTTGAATGTTTGTTACGTTAGAAGTAAATGAGTCTGAAATTGTGTTTCTCATACATTACGTTGAGGTAGGTTGTTGAGTAAAATGGAATGTTAAGTTATAGACAATGTATTATATGATGAAACAAAATATGATGACGTGTGTCCTTTCTCTTTCTTACTGATTTTAATAAAACTGTCATGGCGTATGTCTGTTTGAAGTAAATAGTAAATAAAATAAACGTGCAAGACTATTGTATATAACATAACATAACATAACATAACATAACATCACGCCTTTTATCCTCAAAGGGGTAGGCAGAGGTGCACATTATACCACTGTACAATGTAACACCCACTTTTCACTATTTATGTTATGAGTACTATGTAATAGGGGGTGAGCCTATTGTCATATACCGGGCACATTTCCAGACTCCGTGCTATACTGAGATGTTTTTAAAAACCCAGTAATACTTTGCCTACCCCGGGATTCGAACCCGAAAACCCTTGTCCGGCAGTCGCACTTGCGACCACTCGGCTATCGAGGCATAAATGTCCAAAATAAAAACTAACCAACTCAGGTCTTTGGCTTTAATGTATTGACTTAAATTATTAGAAATAAATCACAGAACTACCATTTGATTTGGCACACACTCTTGTGTTACTAAAGTCAATAACCGAGGTAGGTAATACAAATAATTAATTTAGACGTGGATCTTATTTTATTTCACATTTATATTGTTAATGGGATATTATTTAACAATTGAGAAACAGCAGCTTACTAGGTATTACATTATACCACTTGTAAACAGGTATCTACGCCATTTACTGCAGGGTGTGCCATTCAATGCCTATCCCGTTATAGTGATGTTGCTAAAGTTGTGACCATTTTCACCATCACCACCTCCGTAGCTGTTTCCTCCATTACCAAGATTAAAAACGTCATCGGGAGTGCCTCCATCTGAGGGCACAGTGTCAGTGTTGTCCTTTATACCTGAAATGAAAGGCGATTCATTACCATTTGCAATACAGCGGTCTTTCGTCAAATCAGATGTGATATTACAAATATCACAACATTAAGACTCAGTGATAGTATAATGGGTTAAAGTAACCATTACATAGTACGCTTCTTTTGTTGGCATTTGTGTGCACCGTTCAATACGTACCTTCGATATTTATGTTTTCGAAGTTTCCACCATTTCCAGCATCACCATTTCCATAGGCAGCTCCTCCATTGCCAATATTGGTTTGTTGTGCATTATCTTTGATAACAATGCTTGGTACGGTGGGTACAGCTACTGGAACTAAAATGGAAGATGATGCATCCAGTCTTTTGTCCAATCAGAAGTTATTTATTTATTTATTTATTTACACTTCTTGTATACAATGGCGGACTTAATGCCTAGTGGCATTCTCTAACAGTCAACCTTAGGGTGATGCAGAGAGACACAATAGTAGGTGTAAAAGTTTAACACTGTTCTGAGTTTTGATCATACATTGACATGTAGATATGTATAGTTATACACATCAGACAATATATACTAATTATATATAATGAAGAAGTATTAAAATATATACGTAATGCAATATTACATTATATTACAACTATAAAACATATTACAACCATCAGAACATTGAGGTTCAGTGTGGTTTAGCATGAACATCCGACAGCGAAACCATCAAATATTCGAATCTACTTCATGCAGACACCTGCATCAGCACACGCTGATACTATCCTGGATTAGTATTCGGATTTAATGAGAATATGTTGGATTGTTTTTTGATTATGGCACCGACCCCCCATTGTTCTGAATGTTATAAAGCGTACTGTATGCTAAAACATGCACGGTTTTATTAATACCACAAAATAGAAAATGTTTACCTGTATCTGCCAGCTGAATGTTATGATGTTGAGGACGATGTGTGAATGATGGTGTGTTGTAAAAAGCCCATGGTGTTGCCAAAGTTGATACGATCGACGAACACAGTAATAGCAGTAGAGCAACAGAACGTGCCATCTTGTAAGAGGACAATGCAATACTAATAAAAGGGAAAATATATTTTAGATATATATGCAGTTGGGTTTTACATTCTGTAATGTTTGAGACATAAATAAAATACGAACAAGTGCACTTCGATACACTTTAGAGGTCACGTATAAGTCACGTCCATGTCTTTACGTTTAACTGACTGACTCATCCTACTGATTGGTGTTCGTGGTTTTCGTACAATATATTACGTCGCAGTAAAATAGATGACATCGTGTGCGTTCCCCAGGCCAGATGTTGTCGAAAATGGTCATTTGAATGTTATAGATAATTAGTTGTGCGGTTTCTGTAATTGTTGCGCACATTTTTAAATTCGTTGCGCTTAGTTTTTTAATTATTTCACAAAAACATTTCCTGCTGGGGTAACGTTACTCCTGCCAGACCTTTTTCTTTCTAATGGGAATATTTAAATAATTACTAGATATAAAATTAGTTCTCTAGATGAAGTAAATGTTGTGTCTTGTTTTGTAATAGTTCTTTCGTCGGTTGCGAAGTTATTCGAGATTTTGCTGGGGTAACGTTTTTGATGTTGCTAGATCTTTGAAATGGTTAAGCGGATTCTTATCATATTTGGTACATGGCTTCTTATTAATTAGTTCAAATTATTTAGTTGTTTAGTTCAGTTATACATCAGTAAAATTTCAGCTCAATACACTGGATAATTAATGAGATAATACGATTAAAGTCATTAGGAAGAGAACGACCGTGGTAACCCGACCAAGTTTAGGTGGTTACGAAAAAGCGAAAACGCAGAACATTATGGTACCTTCTAAAATATGTAGGATAGTTTTACAAATTTAGTACAATACTTACAGGATAGTTCAATACTTACAGGATACTAATGAAACTTCACATACATTTGAAGGGAGTTACAAGCTTTTAAATAACGTTTAAAGTAAGTCTTTAGAGCTCTTATTGAGAGTGCTGGGACCAATTTAAGTGTTTTTCTATTTAATGAAATAACTTTTAAGCTATTTATTATTTTAGTTTCTTTATTGCACAACAAATTTGAACTAATTAATAAGAAGTCATGTACCAAATATGATAAGAATCCGCTTAACCATTTCAAAGATCTAGCAACATCAAAAACGTTACCCCAGCAAAATCTCTAATAACTTCGCAACCGATGAAAGAACAAATACAAAACAAGGCACAACATTTACTTCATCTAGACAACTAATTTTATAGCTAGTAATTATTTAAATATTCCCATTACAAAGAAAAAGGTCTGGCTGGAGTAACGTTACCCCAGCAGGAAATGTTTTTGTGAAATAATCAAAATACTATAAGCGCAACAAATTTAAAAATGTGCGCAACAATTACAGAAGCCGCACAACTAATTATCTATAACATTCAAATGACCATTTTCGACAACATCTGGCCTGGGTAACGCACACGATGACATCGTGACGTTTACGCGGGTTTGGATATTAAACGTAACAACCACATTTTCGATAAAACTTTGTCATTATTGAAACAGGTAAATAAAACAAAATGAACAAGTGAACGATTTTATTGACTTAATTAAAATTGAAATACATACTTGAGGACAAAAATTTCTCTTAATCGATCATTGTATACAGATGGGAATAATGTTATTTATTTATTATTAATTTCATACAATAATCAAAATAATGCAACAATCTACTCTACTTAGTGATGTCTTCAGTCAAACATGTCCAACTAGCATTAGTTATCATTTAGTTACAAATTTCTAATTAATTTATGTATGTAGAAATTCAATTTGTTCAAATACAGGTATTATACTGGCCCATATTAATTAACACGATTATAAGGAACAGCAGTTGAGACTACTGGTTTACGGTTTTATTACCACGTCATAAATTAATGGTCGTGAAGTTGCCACCGTTCCCAGCATTACCAGATCCGTGACTGTTTCCTCCATTGCCAACATTGTACTGTCGAGCGACCCGCCTTATTGGCGTAACATCAACTATGGCAGCAATGCTTGATTCCTTGAGCCTACCTTGAGCATTACCGCCTGCACCTGAAATGGAAGGTGATTTATCATTACTCGCATTAGTATTTACTGGTCTGAAACCATCTCCAACTCAACTCATCGTTCACTAAATCAAATGCTGCAAGTGGGGCTGGATTGGAAGCATGCTCCGAAGGGATCCCTGCTACATATCCTGTTAAACCTTAGACCGGAATTCCCAATGGAAAAGGTAGCATGGAGGACTCATCATACTTGCCGTCACACCTTGTTGGCTGAAGTGATAGGCATTAGTGTGACGTGGAGCGATGAGAAACATTAAGTTTCGGACCGATCAACCGATCATTGTATTTTATTGCAAGACTACTGTAGACGCCATCTGCGGTCTGCCTCATCATGTCATGTTCGGTGATTCGGTGGGATCGAGCCTATTGCTACCTCTATACCTGTGAAAGTCGTCGCGGAGAACCTAAAGGGTAACCGGGGCTCCGGCTCGACGTGCAAGAGAAGGAACGGGATGGTTTTTAGTCAGTAAGAGTCTGACACTCCCTCCCGCCTCACCCAGGCGGGAGCAGTCATTCGACGATTTTCCCCCCTTAAAAAAAATACCTGTGAAAGTCATCAAGAAGAATAGAATACATATTTACAAAAATGAAACAACATTCACTTTACAATAAGTTGCATTTCGTGTGTGAATCTGCGGAGAAACAAGTTAATGAATGATATTAAGTTACGTATTAAATTATTTTACTTGTGCAGACAGAATCTAAGACCCTGTATACTGCAAAGTACCTAACTATGTAGTTATTCGATTACTAAGGTTCCTTTACTTCACTATGAAAGTATGTCGAATAAAAATTAATACGGTAACCGCCGCATAGGTCACTGGTGACCTACGTTAGCGGAGGATTTGCCTTCAGCAGTTTTCTGTCGGCAGTCAAAGGCTTAATTATCGATTGCGATTGTGTAATACAAAATACTAACCCTCTTCCTTCGGTTTAGATGGTGCTGCCAATGTAGATACAATCAACGCAAACACCAGCAGTAGAGCAACAGAACGTGCCATCTTGTGAGCAGACAATGCAATACTAATGGTGTCAAAAATTAAGAATCATTTATATAAGGTACTTGCTAAAAAAGGAATGAGGAGGAAACCAGATCGACTTGAATGAACTTTGTAAGGCATTCCTCTGGAACCGGACAGCTAAAATCATATATGTCGATCATCTTTGTTATATTCTACTAGCTATTTCCCGCGTCTTCGTCCGCGTATAATAATGACTTTTGGCAAATTTTCGAGATATATCCTATTGGTGTAGTTTGTAACAAATTTCATCACGAATCTGACTTATTAAATTCAATAACGATTAATATTGTTTTTGTCAAAATAAGTTCGTAAATATTCTATATTTTATTGTAAAGCAAAAACAAAGACTGTGGGTATGAACTTGTATTAAAGCTGGACAGCACAGTATCTGAAAAAACGAGTCGAGAGAGAAGGCTGAATGTATATATATAGGCGTCCTTTTCTAATAGGGTATCCATAAAATGTTATCTTTGCGAATAACCATACCACACTGATTGGTGTTGCCATGGTAATAATTTCAGTACAATTTTAACTCAGAAACTAGATTTTATTTATAAATTTATGTGCGACACACGGACAGTAAACAGGAGAACATGTATATTATGTATATAGATCGGAGGTACATAAATATGAACATATTTATTGTGTAAAAACAGGTATTTACAATTAAAAACGAAAAAGAAAATAACCAGCGAAACTGTTTAGGTACATGCATTAATTAGATACTTTATTCGTTGTCAGTGTTTTTATATTTGTGAATGCAGTAACTCCTCTGAACATGGGGCTTACTCTTGAATCCAATTCCAATCGATCCAAATTGGTATTGTGAAATTAGTAGTACTCTTGAGTTGTATAGTTTTGACATAGAATAATTATTGAGATTTTATTGGATTGGAATTGCATTGACATTGAGATTGGTTACAAGAGTAAGCACCCAGTTGCGAAAAGCCTCTGGAAGACCGAGAAAAATAGTCATCTCCCCTATCTGGTCCGAGAGATAACTATTTTTCCCTTCTTCTAGTCTTCCGTTTCTCGCATCCAATGCATTGTAAATGTGTAATACTTGTGTAATATCTAAATCGAGTACGGGACACGGTTTATTTCGAAAAAGAAAACAATCAAAATTAATCATTATGTTTTTCGGCTTACTCACATAGTCTACCTCTATATCTTGTTTTTATAAATTTTTAATTACTATTTTATTATTGTATTGTCACTGTATTGTTACTCTGTCGTTTCTTTGTTTTTTTTCTATATCTATATAAATATGTGTATTTATTTGTCCTTTTCTTTTTTTTTGTATCTGTGTGCGTGCCTACTGTAGAATAAATGTTTTTTCTTTCTTTCTTTCTGAATGCTACTTATGAATACGAACCTCTAGCATGGCTTGAAGCTAATCGAGTTCCTCGTCAAATAATTACGTGAGTAAACCGAAAAACATGTCATATAAGGAAAAAATATGGTACCATATCTGAATGAGTCAGAAATATTTATATCTTTATTAGTGAGGTAAAACAATAACAGACAATTTAATAAAATGACAATTCATTTTAGTTGAATCAAATAATTGACACCTCTTCGATTAGACATCGTCGCTAAACGTTTATCTTTGTTGTTACTACGAGTTCATGGCTGATCAATCCCTGATAGGATTACCCAACTACGTTGTAATGTAATTAACGTAGACATGTGCATTGCATTGTATATTACGACTGCTACGTAAATACTCGACAAATATATAAAGTGATGTTTGGTATTGCTAGCATTTGATTTCGTATGCAAAAAAAAGGATTAGCCTGCTATTGTATTAATACGACAAATTTAATGTTTATTGGTTCAGATAAATATAAAAGCACTACAAACAGGTAAAATGCACGCTCATTTATATTTAGAATTATACCGAAAGACTAATAATTACGCTATAACGAGTGTAAAACTTAAATAAATAAATCGTCTAAATAAAAGAACAAATATGTTAAGGAAAACTTGACACTACAAAAATAGAGATGTTTTTAAGGGGGCAAAATTATCCAATGACTTCTCCCGCCTGGGTAAGGCGGGATGGAATTTTAGACTCGTACTGACTAAAAACCATCCCGTTCTTACTGCTGCACTTCGAACCGGAGCCCTTGTAACAGTCCTATTGGACCCCATCCGTGGTAGTCTGATGGCTCTTTGAGGCGCGCGCGGAGCGCCACGCGCCGTACGTAATAATAATAGGGATAGGTTTTA